TCTTCTGCATCCTTTTGGTCGGGATGGTTAGATCTCCTCACATGAACACTGAAGAATGGCTTGCATTTCACGGCAAGGCAAAGCCTTTCTTACAGAGCCCACGGATGGAAATTAAATACTGAAAAAACACACACTACTTGTTAGTAATATACATCGAACAGGTGAATAATTATTGGGGAACGACTATTTTTCATCTTTGTTTAGCCTACTTCCATTTCGAGTGAAAGGGTTTGGTGAAGAGATTCCAAGACCGATTCCAGCAGAAGACAAAGGCGGATTCCTCTTGATCAGCTGTTGTTTGGCTCTACTGGAACATTCATGCTGACGCTGTTTCCGAGGCAGTCTCCTTCGACTCCGGAGAAAAGGTCCTAAGCCTTCGTGCGTCACATGACGAACATCATCAGAGCAAGGTATCATCTTCACAACAAAATTGGAGCTAAAGAGTCAAGAAAACTCACCGAAAACTCCATAAAAAGTGGTATATATACTCTACATCTGGCCTCTTTGATCAAGTATAAAGTAATTTGGTTAGATACGGTCATATGTCAACTTCGAGGTCTGTCTGTCTCTGTATGTGTGTCCTAATTACTCTGAGCCATCATTGCGTGTTTGGTGCATAAGCGAACACAAGCAGACACATACACGTACAGATACAGACACACTCACATGCGTCGAAGTTGATATATGACCTTAACTAACCAAATCACTTTATACTTGATCAAAGAGGCCAGATGTAGAGTGTATATACCACTTTTTGGGTATTTGCCGGTAAGTTCTCTTGACTCGTTAGCTTGAATTTGGTTGTGATGATGTTCGTTGCATGACGGACGACAGCTTAACACCTTTTCGCCAAAATCGAAGAGACTGCCTTGGAAACAGCGTCAGCATGAATGTTCCCGTAGAGCCAATCAACAGCTGGTCAAGAGGAATCCGCCGTCGTCTTCTGATGGAATCGGTCTTGGAATCGCTTCACCAAACACTTTCATCCGAAATGGGATTAGGCTCAAAAATTACGAAATAAGAGATTCCTCGAAACGGAACTTTTCTTCTCAAATTTTTCATCCGCCCAAACCTTGAGGTGATTTAACCTCGTTTCGCTTTTTGATCATATATTCAGGGAGCTCTTGCCCAAAATTGTCTACCAAAGTGTTCATGATAATTTTCAAGATTGGATCATAAAGTTGGCACATTTTCAGACGTTTCGCTGCCAGTGAGCTTAACCATTCTTGGCATCATATAAGCCATCTAGTGGTTGTGATAGTGGCAGGCTCACTGACTGATCAAGTTGAAAAAAACAAGGTTCAGTTGGTTTGTTCAGAGCAAAACTGGCCCGGAGAGGAGATTGCCGGAGTGAATCTGTAATCATGTTGTGAAAGATGTATTGTTCGGGCAGAAAGAGCGCGAGTTTTGGACGAATTTTCAATGCCAACTTTAGAATATCATCTCAACTGTTGCCGGAAAATGCGAATGAAGCCGCTCAAAGCAGATGAGACAAACCGATGGCTTCGGCAGGAGGGCGGGAATGTGGACATGGTTGCGCCTCCTGACGCGGAACGACGTAAAGGTCCGTCTGGATGCGGAAACTGTACCGCGGCTGCAAAGAGACTGGCATGTACGACGTGAAAGTGTGCACTTACCGCATGTGAAGCAGAATGTGAATGTACCGAGCCGACGATGGAACAACTTAAATAGAGCCGGATTGTCCGCGAATGTTTTGCTTCGCGACATGCGAAAAAGCGAAGATTCACAAGCGGAAGTCTGGCAGACCAACTGCCCGCATCGCTTCACACAAACGCACGCTTCCTCGTTGTCTGTCCCTTTGGCTGTCGGAACGACAAACCGAGGCTGCTCACGCCCCAGTTGGCAGATGATACTTTTCTGCTCTGCCGGAAGTGGAGTCAGGTTGGTTGAGAAACGAGGAGTCGAACAGCGCAGATCGGATCGGCCCGACGAACTGGAAAGAGGACGCTGATGGCCATTTTTTCAGCCACAAATTCGACCAAAATCGGCCAACACATCGTCGAGACCCATCTTGGCTGTCCGGCCCTGCCAGTGGCCTACCTCTTGTGGGCATACTCGAGGTTTGGTATCCAATAAAGGTCGAGCTGATCCTCGGAATTTTCTTCAAATCGGCCAGCGATCCGATGACACATCCGCCCATCGCTGTTCTATCTCGTGCCGCTACAGACACTAAACTTGATCTGCTCAGAACGAGG